GACTTACACCCTAACATTGTGCCCCCTCTTAATGGGGCTCTTAATGTGGGAGCACACCCATCCCCTCTCCCAGCTTCCTCGTTCTCCTTCCTGCACCTTGAACTGACTTGATGCCCTCTTATGTGGGCATCTCTTAGATTGTCTACTGGCTTCATATTAGTATTGAGTACATTGGATACTTGCTTCTTCATTTTTGTGATATTTCACTAAGAAGAATGTATTTCACCTCCATCCAGGTCAATATGAAAGATGTAAAGTCTCCATCTTTTTTAATGGTTGAGTAGTTTTCCATGTTATACATATACTGCAGTTTATACATCCATTCCTGGGTTGGTGGGCATGTAGGTTGTTACTACATTTTGGCGACTGTAAATTGAGCTGCGATAAAAAATGTAGTGCAAATGTCTTTATGATAAAATGGTTTTTTTTTTTCTTCTGGGTGGATGCCTAGTAATGGGATTGTAGGATCAAATGGGAGATCTAGTTTGAGTTCTTTGAGGATTCTCCATACTTTCTTCCAAAGAGGCTGTATTAGTTTGCAGTCCCACCAGTGGTGTATAAAAGTGTTCCCTTCTTTCCACATCCAGGCCAGCATCTTCAGCTTTGGGACTTTGTGAGATGGGCTTTTCTCACTGGGATTAGGTGATATTTCAGGGTGTTTTTGATTTGCATTTCTCTGATGATTAGGGATGATGAGCATTTTTTCAAATGTTTGTTAGCCATTCATCTAGCTTTCTCAGAGAAGGTTCTGTTCATGTCTCTTGCCCAGTGGTAGCTGGGATTGTTTGGTCTTTTTCTGTTGATTAATTTGAGTTCTCTGTAGGTTCTAGTTATCAATCCTTTGTCGGACTGTGCAAATATCTTTTCTCTTTCTGAAGGTTGCCTTTTGGCTTTGCTTGTTGTGTCCTTAGCTGTGCAGAAGCTTTTCAGCTTAATTAGGTCCCATTTATTTTTGTTGTTGCAATTGCTGCTGAAGTCTTCTTCATAAAATCTTAACCCCAGGCTGATGTCTGATGTCATCAAGAGTTTTTCTTAAACTTTCTTGTAAGATTTGTGTCTTAGGTTTAAATCTTTTATCCATCTCGAGTCAAATTTTTGGAAGTACTGAAAGGTGTGGATCCATTTTCAAGTCTTTTATAGGTAGTTATCTAGTTCTCCCAGCACTGTTTGTTGAATGGGGATTCTTTTCCCCACTATCTGCTGCTGTTTGGTTTATCAAAGATCAGATATCAGTAAGAGCCTGGTTTCATCTCTTGATTTTTCTGTTCTATCTCTATTTTTGTGCCAATACCATCCTGTATTGATCTCTGTGGACTTATAATATGTATAACCTGCAGTCTGGTAGAGTGATGCCTGAGCTTTGTTTTTATTATAAAGAATTGCCTTTACTGTACAGGTTTTTTTCTCGTTCTCTACAAAGCAAAGTACTATTTTTTCCAGTTCTTTAACATATGAGGTTGGTATTTTAATAGGGATTGCATTGAATCTGCAGGTTGCTTTGGGTAGAATAGACATTTTAACAATATTGTTTCTTCCCAGCCAGGAGCATGATATGTTCTTTCATTTCTTAATGTCTTCTGCTATTTCTTTTCTTAGGGTTTCATAATTCTCTTTGTAGAGGTCCTTCACCTCTTTTGTTAGGTGCATTCCTAAGTACTTCATTTTCTTTGAAGCTGCTGTGAGCGGATTTGTGTCCTTGATTTGCTTCTCAACCTGGTTCTTGTTGGTGTATACAAAGGGTACTGATTTGTGGACATTGATTTTATGCCTTTAGACATTACTGTATTTCCTGATCACTTCTAGGAGTTTTGTGGTTGAATCTCTGGGGTTTCTTAAGTGTAAGGTCATATCATTTGCACAGAGTGAGAATTTGGCCTCCTCTGCCCCCATTTGGATGCCCTTTACATCCTTGTCTTGCTTGATTGCATTGGCTACAACTTCCAGAACTATGTTGAAAAGTAGTGACAATAGTGGACATCCTTGTCTGGTTCCAGTTCTAAGTGGAAAAGCTTTCAGTTTTACTCCATTCAGTGTGATATTAGCTGTAGGTTTGTCATACATGCCTTCAATGAGCTTAAGAATGCACCCTATGCCTCTATTCTGAAGTGTTCTTGTTAGAAAATGATGTTGAATTTTATCAAATGCTTTTTCTGAATCAATTGAGAGGATCATATGGTCTTTGTTTTTACTTCTGTTGATATGGTAAATTGCATTTATGGATTTGTGTCCCAATCTTACATCCCTGGAATTAAGCCTATTTGATTGTGATGCATAATTTTTTTAATGTGTAGCTGTAATCTATTTAGCCAAGATTTTATTGCGTATTTTTTGCATCTGTATTCATTTGTGAAATTTGTCTGTAGTTCTTTTAGGTGGATCCTTTCCTAGTTTTGGTATCACAGTGATGTGTGCTTCATAGAATGTGTTGGGGAAGGTTCCTTCCTTCTCAGTATTTGGGATAAGTTCTGTAGTATAGGAACAAACTCATCTTTGAAGGTTTGAGAGAATTCTTGTGAAGCCATTTGGTCCAGGGCTTATTTTTTGTTGGAAGCTTTTTCTTGTTTCTTCAATCTAAGTGCTTGATATTGTTCAAGAGATCTATTTCTTCCTTGTTAGGTCTAGGGAGATGGTGTGATTCCAGGTATTGGTCTGTTTCTTCTATTTTGTCAATTTTCTGGGTATAGAGTTGGTGTGGTAGTGAGAAATAACCTCTTATGTCTCTGTGGTGTCAGTTATTTCTTTTTTTTTGTTTCTCATTGAGGTTATTAAAGATTTTACTTTTCTGTTTCTAATTAATCTGGCTAATGGTTTATTGATTTTATTTTTTTTTCAAAGAACCAACTTTTTGTTTCATTGGTTTTTCTGAATAATTTCTTGCGTTTTCAATTCATTAATTTTTGATTTAATTTTGGTTATTTCTTCTGCTAGGTTTGGGATTGGATTGCTCTTCCTTTTTCATTTCTTCAAGATAATTCATTAGATTGTTGATGTGCTCTCTTTCTGTTATTTGGATGTAGGAATCTAATGCTATAAATTTCCCTCTTAGGACTGCTTTTGTAATATCCCACAGGTTTTGGTGGTTTATGTCTTCATTGTTGTTATGTTGAAGGAGGTTAATGATTTCCTCATTTATCTCTTCCTTGACTTGTCATTCAGTATAAGGTTGTTTAGTTTCCATGCCTTTGTGTGGGGATGAAGATTTTTGTTGGAGTTGAGTTCTACCTTTATTGCCTTGTGGTCTGAAAATATAAAAAGTGTAATTTCAGTTCTTCATGTATACATTTCTATTGAGTGTAAATCCCCAGGAGTAGTATTGCTTAGGTATGGGGAATGTATCTTTAGCTTTAGAAGATACTTCCAAACAGTTTTCCATACTATTTACCATTTTAGATTTCCACCTGCAGTGTATGAAAATGGCACTTGCTGCATATCCTTGCCTTAAGTTGGTATTGTCTGGTTTTTGGATAAAAATTAGTCATTTTGATAGGTAATTATATCTCATCATGGTGTTATTTGTACTTTTCTGACAATTAGTGATGTTGAACACCTTCTCTAATTATCATCTGTGACATTTTGTTTGGTCTTTAGCCTATTTTAAAAATTAGGATTTTTTTTTTTTTTTTGGGTGACTTGAAGTTGTTTTTTAAAAATCTGGATCTGAGTTTTTGCTGCTAATATTTTCTCTTTCTCTGTACTTGGCATTTTCATTTCTAAAGAGTACTTTTTAATTTATTCAGTTTTTTTGTTTTCTTTGTCCTGTTTAAAAAAAATCTTTGCTCATGATATTTTTCTTGTCATTTTATAGACGCTTTATAGTTTTAAATTTTATGTGTAGGTCTCTGATATACTTTCTTTCCCCTCTTTTAATGGCCTGTAAGATATATATTATTCATTTTATTGATTTTGATTTTAGCAGTAGTAGTCATAGAAAATTTATTGGTATGGCTTACTTATGGGAAAACCTTTTTATTTTTAGGTGTGATATTTTAATTTCTAGTAATTTCTGCTACTTAGAAAGGATGATTTTTATTCTGGAATTCTTTAGAAGGAATTTAAAAATAGAGCTTTTCCTGACTGTAAAAGAGGCAATTAGTTTTACTTCATACTACATTGTATCATGTCTTATTTGATTTGATTTTTGAGAAATCACAATGGTGGTTTAAAAACATTGGGTTGTGCATTCAAATGCAGTGACTTCAGCAAATGACTTAATCTCTATAAAGCGTGAGGTGATTACACAAAAGAATTTGTAAGTTTTTCAAGTGAGGCAGAGGGCTAACAAACAACAAGAGCTTCATAAATATTATTTATACTTTTATTATTGAATTTTTGAACTTAATTTTACTTAAGACTTCACTGAAAGGATTTGTACTATGTTTATTATTGAATTATTTACAGCTAACCTTTATAAACAGTAAAAATTCATTTTTCTCTTTATCATCTCTTATTATGCATAAAAATTTTTTTACTACCATAAGATGGATTTTATAATGTTTCTTCATGTTAATTGTGTAACAGATTGAATATTTGGTAAAATTTCTTCGCTTCATTGGCTCTATTTTATAGACTCTGTTAGATTGTCTAAGGGCTACTTAAAAGGGGGTAACTTAATATCAGAAAGTGGAGTATTACGTTGTATGTTGATTACCTGAAGAACGTATGAATGCTTCTCTAAGACATTGTTAGTATGCTATTGTCTGATCTGTTTTTTTTTAGTCTAATTTGTGACAGAGCTTATTTTTTTGTGGTCTAGTAAACTCTACCAATGTCTTGATAATTCCTTATCTTTTCCATATTACAGGTAAAATTTAAATTATTTATATGATTATAAATAATTTGTCTTATATTTATCATATGCCAATGTTTCAACATATGCTTTTGGTTTCAATGTGTCATACAAAAATAAATTTCCCATATATTAAATGGAATTCTTAGGTAGATTTTTAACAGTAGGTATAACTCTGAAATTGAAAAATGATTTATCTTTTTTTATTATTTAGAGAGCCTCAACCACCAGCAGGATTTTTAAAAGGCTGTCTGACTATTTGGTAAGTACATATTCTCCATGTTAAATACTTCGCGCACGTGTCTGTGTGTGTGTGTGTGTGTGTGTTTTCCTTTTACCATTGGGGAATCATTGAGGGAACAAAAAACCAGGTTACACTGCTTGCATTTGTTAGGTAAAGTCCCTCATTTGCATGTTACTTAAGTTTACACATATGCTAAATGGATGGCATTTATAATAGCCATTGTAAATTACAATTGTAATTTATATTTCTTTTAATTTTTACTTGGGGAATAGAATTTTTTGTCTTTATACCCATTCTGATCCCCTTCTGATCCATTCTACACATAGTGTTCAGAAAAATCCTTATGAGTACAAAGAAATAAATGGTTTCAGCAAGCAGTAATAATAATACTTTATGAATGAAATAGGATTTTCTGTACTTGAGATTTTGTAATAGTTCCCCGTTAAGTTACCAAAACTAGTATAGATTTCTTCTTTAGCTGTCTGTTGCTTGACTCTTCCTTGTATTAGGTTCTGTTTGCTACACCATGATGATGTGAACACCAATACTGTGGTCAGGTGCTATGATTCCTACATGGATTACTCCAATTTGTTTGTTCTAAGATTAAAATGTGAAAAATTTTGTAGGTGATTATAATTAAGAATTTTATAAACTTATGACTTTACTATATAAAGCTTGTGCTTTTTTATTTTTGAGTAAAGTAGGCAAGTTAATTTCAGGATGTGTTCTACTTCACCTAATCATATAGTGATTTAGACTTGTCAATAAGGTGATTAGATAGATATAACAATGCTTTGGTTAATCATGATGAATTTTGAAATTATTAACTAAGTTTCAGAAATGTGAGAGAAATGCTGAGACATTGGATAATGAAGTATCATAGTCTCTGCTTGTTTTTAATATAGTCAATAAAAGATTTTTAAGGGGAGATACATTTATTTTGTTAGGTAAACTATATCTCTGAGAAACAGGAAGAAATATTTCATGATAAGTATTGGTTTCTTTTACTATACTTTTAAATATGTTTGATACAATAAATACTTGACCAAATAATGTTTCTAAAATTCTATATTAACCCTAGGGGATACTTAATGTTCAGTGTTACACTATTTTGTTTAATGTATGTTTATAATAAATAGAGCTTTTTAATGAGCAAGTGATATTGCAAGATCTCTTAAACAAATTTTTACCACTTTAAATGTGGTAGCTGATTTTTGGAGATGTATTAAGTAGAAAAGAGTAACTTACTGTCAATTTTTTTTTTTTTAACCATTGATGCATACGTTTGAGTTAGAAGGAAGCAGTCATCTTTGTATTGTATATGCTTATGATGTATATTTCATCTTTGCAAATTAGTTTTTTTAAAGTGACAGTTTTATTAAGGTATAGCATGCATACCAGAAAATTCATCCCAAGATGTATAATTCAGTGTGCGTTTGTATATTATCTGAGTTGTACAGTCATCACTACTATCTAATCTTAGAGTATTTTCATCATCCTTTCTCCCCACTTCTTTTACCCTCAAGCCCTGGGAAATCACTAATATCTCTTCTGTTTGTATAGATTTTCCTTTTCTGGACATTTTATAAAAATGGATTCACAAAATATTTTTCCCGTTATGTGTGGCTTCTTCAACTTACGATGATATTTTCAAGGTTCATCTATGTTGTGTGTGGCATGTATCAGAGTTTCATTTTTGTGGCTGAATAATACTCCATTGTATACTACATTTTGTTCATCATTTAATGGGTAGTATCTACTTTTTGTGGCTATTAGGAATGCTTTTGCTATCAAAATTCTTGTATAAGTTTTTGTACAGACATGTATTTTTATTTCTTTTGAGTATACATGGATGAGATAGAATTGATGGGGCAATATGGTAACTATGGGTAACTCTTTGAGGGAGTATCAAAATGGCCGTACCATTCCATAGTCCCGTCAGCAATGTATGAGGGTTGTAATTTCTCCACATCCTCAGTGACACCTGATGTAAGCCTTTTGCATTTTATCTGTCCTAATTTATATGTCATATCTCATTGTGGTCTTTATTTTCAATTTATAATTACTAATGATAAACATCATTTTATTTGGTTATTGACCATTTGTTTTCTTTGGAGATACGTCTGAATCCTTTGCTTATTTTTAAAGTTTGGTTGTCTTTTTAATTTTTAATTGTAAGCATTGTTTGTATATTCTAGAAAATAGTCTTTTATCAGAGAAGTAGTGAGGAAATATTTTCTCCTATTTTGTGGGTTATCTTTTAATGGTGTCCTTTGAAGCATAAGAGTTTTCAATTTTGAAGAAGTCTAATTTATCTGTTTTATTGTTTATGCTTTTAGTGTCATATTGTAAATTCATTTTAAAATAAATATTCATTGATAGTCTAGATCTATGACAAGGTTTTTTTTTTTTTTTTTTTGGGGAGAGACAAAATCTTACTAGATTGCTCTTGGTAGAGTGCAGTGGCATGACAACTAACAACAACCTCAAACTCTTGGGCTTACGTGATTCTCTTGCCTCAGCCTCCCAAGTAGCTGGGATTACGGGTGTCTGCCACAACACTTGGCTATTTGTTGTTGTTGTAGTCATCATTGCTGTTTAGCAGGTCCAAGCCGGGTTGGAACCCGCCAGCCTTGGTGTACCATGTTTTCCCGAAAATAAGATACTCTTCTTATATTTATTTTTTCTCAAGAAGACATACGAGGGCTTATTTTCGGGGGATGTCTTATTTTTATTAAGTATAATACAACAATCTACATTTATTCAAATACAGTTAAGTCATCTTTTTCTGGAACCTGACAGGGGGAGCCAACCTTGTTGATGAGGCTGGTGCTAGTGATTGGTGAATTCCTTTCGCCTAGCTGTTCGCACATGTGCAATAGGATACCTGCAACCATGGTAGCCATGTGCACCTGTGCAAGTGCAAATGGTTTGGAGAAAAGAGCTGTGGCAGATAAAAGGTATTCCGGTCTTCTTTGCCACTCCATGCTGAAATGCATGTCCTGGCTATGCAGCTATCTGCATAGCCATGCTCATCATTAGGTCTTATTATCAGGGTAGGGCTTATATTTAACAAATGCATAGACATCCTGCTAGGGCTTATTTTTTGGGTAGGTCTTATTTTCGGGGAAACATGGTATATGGTTGGCACCCTAGCCTCTGAGCTACAAGTGCCTCTCTATGACAAGGTTTTGATTATCACAGGACCTTAAAAAAGCATTGGCATTTCTTGTGTTTGACAGCTAAAGCTCAAAGGAAGCAATTATCCTTGTGTTTGTGTTTCACTTCCTTAGCTAATTGTTTTAAGCAAAGCTTTATATTTTGGTAATATGTGTTATCATAAAATATTAACTGTGTGATATACTCATCGATATTACTCTTGTGAATCTATGTTTCATTTTTGTATCAGAGAAGGAAACTTTCCTTAATAGTTTAGTTTAGTATGGCAATTAGTGGGGTTTTGATTTCATGCCTTAATAAGCTATTGCCTTTTAGACTAAGAATATTGTCAGAGTTCTTTGTATCTTTCTTGTAAAGAGAGAATAGATTTTGGTAATCTTACTGATTTTAATCTTGTGCATAATATTTTTGAGCAGTAATATTTTGATGTTTCATAAACCTACATATGGAATATGAACATTTTTTTCTGTGCTTTATTAAGTACATGTCTTTTTAATTTTTGTGGGACCAGTTTAGTTTCTTATTTTTGGTCGTTATGTGTAGCTTTTTTTTATCAATCAAAGGCATATTTCAGGATATTTTGGCTTATATTGTTTAATTTAGTTTCTTGGAGAAATGTTGTATAACAACGGAATGTCACTGCTTCTAACAGCTTGGGCTTTCTGTGTAAGAAAGAGGTTGTAATATAAATGTCATAGATGTATTTTAATAAAATAATTGACTATTTTTATGTAAACAATATTTTGTGTCTACTTATGAAATTTAATAGAGCTAAGATCACGATATTCTTGTTAATTGATTTAAATCGTGTGGCTTGAGTGTTCACTGGATGGGTAATACTGTTCTACACATTGATGTTTTTATACTTTGTTATAGTATCCATGGACATTTAACAACTGAAAAGGAAATAAAAACCTGATACATTTTATTCGTAATGGAGTTAAATTTTCAATTATGATAAAAATGAGGAAAAGATACAGTTGAGAGTTGCCTCCTATGGTTTATGTCAAATTTGGTAATTGAGAGGATTTTGGTGACCTATTCATGGCTAAATTAAGGCAAAATAGCTTTTATACACTATTACTTTCATCATCCTTTCTCTCTTTTCCTGTATGCTTACTAATGTAATAAATGAGTGTATATTAATTCTGAGTATTTAAATTTTAAGTAGGGTTTTTTTTTTTTTAAATTAAAGCTGTGTACATTAATGCAATCATGGGGTACAATGTGCTGGTTTTATGTACAATTCGAAATATTTTCATCAAACTGGTTAACATAGCCTACACGGCATTTTCTTAGTTATTGTGTTAAGGACATTTATATTCTACATTTAGTAAGTTTCTCATGTACCTATGTAAGATGCACCGTAGGTGTGGTCCCACCAATTACCTTCCCTCCAGCCATCCTCCCCCTTCCCCCCCTCCCCTTTCCCTTCTTCTTGGGCTATAGCTTTCATATGAAAGCTATAAATTGGTTTCATAGTAGGGCTGAGTTCATTGGATACTTTTTCTTCCATTCTTGGGATACTTTGCTAAGAAGAATATGTTCCAGCTCTATCCATGTAGACATAAAAGAGATAAAGTCTCCATCTTTCTTTAGGGCTGCATAATATTCCATGGTGTACATAAAGCACAATTTATTAATCCATTCATGGGTAGATGGGCACTTGGGCTGTTTCCATGTCTTGGCTATTATGAATTAGGCTGCAATAAACATTCTGGTGCAAATGTCTTTGTTGTAAAATAATTTTTGATCATTTGGGTATATATGTAGTAGAGGAATTGTAGGATCGAATGGCAGGTCTATTTTTAGATCCCTAAGTGTTCTCAAACATCTTT